CCTGGTGGTCAGACTAACGGCGTCGCTGCTATATTGAAAAATATCGAGCCGAGCGAAATGTTTGCATTCCTTTGGTTTTTCACTCCTGCGCACTTTTTCTCTCGGGCATTTTTTGCTCTCTGACCCGGGCACGGCTTGATTAAAGTTTACACTGCACGCGTCGACAAATACCTTGTGCCGCGTAATTTTGCCGCGCGCTGATAGGATACCTCCTTCGGAAATGACTGTACTCGAAAGATCCTCCAAGATTAAGAATCACGCTGTATTTTTGATAACGCTATACTCACAACGTGCACATTTAATAATGTGTGAAATACATTTTATTCCTCCCAAAGCGAAAGATCCTTCGATCACGATGGCAATTATATGGATACAATTTACACGGCTGGCACGGTTTTATTCTGTTTCTATGTATAAACGTTTGCTTCGTCCTCGTGCCAGAAGCGGCCGCAAGCCGTCAAGATTTACCCGCGGGCGAGCAATGGCACGCGGCTCGTGCATTATTTCGTCAGCGAGATGGATCCGTCTTCGGGTAAATGGCATTTGGTAAGGACCGCCGAGTAAGTTGACGCCACGGCGAGCGTCGAGTGACAACGTTAATATTAGAGAATCCGGTTATCGCACGCTTAATATGCAAGGGTTAATATGAAGGCGCCCCCCAGGAGTCGTAAGGTGGTGGCACACGTATGCCGGCTACGTCCACGCAACCCTTTACCCGCGAGCAACCCGTGGCTAACACTCGCTGCATATTTCATATTTATATTAACCTGATTAAGACATGTTGCCCCGCGGCTTAATGCAGATATGTGGAGTTTGTTTCTGAACTGGCATTCATTTTAATGGAATTTGTAATTAAATGAACTATGCCGCGCCTCTTTCTCGTCTCGCTCGTTCGCGTGTGCACGCGGATCCGCGCCCCTCGCTTCGCCCGCGGACGTCGTAATCCTTTCAATCTCCGCGCGTTTTGCGCCGCGCAACGCGGCGAGACGGCACGGCGTAATCCGCTGGTCAGCATCGCCGGCAACGCGAACTGGGTCAACGTGCTTTCGAGAAGCGCGATGCGCCTAAAAAGCTTCCTGTGTACCTTCAACGCGTTTCTTCCCAAAAAAGGTTTCCATAACTTTTCACACGTCCGTTTATTACTGTTTCGCAGAAGCAAATGCGGCGACACACACGAAGACCCTATTTATCGTTCTTAACTCCCGAGTGACACAGATATTCCCTCGACGAACTTGATTGAATTCTCTATGAGATAACTTTTTACAGGCAGAAGTGCAGAATCCGAAAGAGGGGATTTGGAGTAAATCGTATCTCTCCACGTTCTTCCCGAGCAGCGATATTTAACGAGTGTCGTTGATAATGAATTCCGTTTGCTACGTGTACGTCGAGCGGTTCATGAATATTGCAAGTTAGAGCGCGCAGTATTATTCGGTTACGAGGCGTGATTAGCGTCTCCGTCAACTCGCATCAAACTTTCCCGATTAATCAACCTGGCCTGCCCCTACGGTGCCGCGTGCGCGCTCTCTCTCTCGTTCCCGCTCTCGCTCTTGTTCTCTCCTCCCCGTCCGCGGCCAACCCCTTCGCGGTGGTGACGATGCCACGGTAATGTAAACTAATTAAACTGGAGGCCAGGCACTAATGTGTCCATTATGTCGTCCTGCCCTCGGCCCAGCTTCGCACCGGACCCTCAAATCCTCCTCCCGTCCTTCCAGTTCCTTCGTTACCTCCCGCGGTTCGCTCCGCTTTTCCGCTTCCGTCCTTTACCACAATACGACAGAAACGTTGGGCTGCACAATAGCCAAAATTATCTGATTCCTTTCTATCCTTGGCCCCTTCGAAGGCCATTCAAGATCTTGCATAAACAAATTTCTTACTTTAAATTCCTTCTTAGTTAGATTTTAGGGACTTAAAAGTATCTTTGTATATTTTGCTTTAAGTTATTTTACAAGGATTTAACGCTGTGCGTCTATAATAAATCTTAATCAGATAGAGAAGCTGAGGATAATTGCCAAAGTAATTAAGTACGCCGCGCGTAAATTTCCTTTTCTTACGAAAAAGTGTTCGTCTTTAATAATTCGATTCACCAACCATCAGCGAGGGGCGCAACCATCCATTATTAACACTTCCATCTGTCGGTGTATCTTGCTAGAGCCCTCTCGATGCTGTATAATACGTTGCTACATCATATTACATGCTGCGACTGACCGTATGGCCAGTAAATAGTGTATTCTTAGAGAAAGGGATGTAAGTATAAATACAGCTGAAGGTGTTTGAAGACTTATGTAGCAATATTAAAGTGTTCACAAACGTCTTTCAATTTTGTTAAACCTATTAAGTAATATTAACGTTTTATTTTTATATGCAAAAGATTATTTGGCAAAATTTGCACAATTTACAGGCAGGGAATAAAAGTTTAAAATGCGAATAGCATCTACATGTAACATTTTTCCTTTCAATTCAGAGGATAAATTAACCTCTGCGGAGTCAGTCCCTTGCATCGCCACTTAGAAGTGTTTTATACTGCAAAGACTGCACCATGGCGTTTTAATCAAGTGCCACAGCATATTGCGCCCTAAGCTAAATGCGACTCTGTAACATCCCCTCCACGGGGGTTCCTCTTACAAATTGCTAGCTATCGTACCCCCCCCGTAGCAGTGTCAACGATACGTCATGTCTCTGAATGCCTGACTAGCGAATTCGGCATTAGAGCGCATTGTGCTGCTGTACCTGCTAAAGCTCATATATTGTATTATACTTGGTACACTCGTCTACCGGTTTTGCAACAATAATCATCGATCTGTTCGGAAAAACAGGTACCAATCATCCTTGAAAAAGTTTTCTTTCCTAAAAGAGTCAAGAAGTATTCAACTTCAAATAAATTGTACTAGATAAACACGAATAATAATTTACATATTTAGACAATATGCACACCAGACGAACTCATTAAATCATCTAAAGATACCCTCGATATAATAATTTACTTCTTTATAATTCTTCCAACAAGTCGCGTCGCAAGTTAAATATTAGAAGTATTTTCTTGATATTTTACATCAAGTTGAACTTTCAAGTTCGCGTATTACGACGAAAGGATGACTCGACACTTCAATTTATGAAAATGCACCCCGTTAATTCCAGTTAATCGCATTTTATTTGTTTGCTTCGATTGCACAAGAAAAAGAATGGCATATCGGTAGTCATTATAGTTTTATGCGCCAACTGTCGCTGCACAGCAGGTCCTATTTATAGGCGTAAAACAATTTTCAGCATAGAAAATCACGCGTTATAGTTTCGTATTATGGCATAACGGCGCGCCATTCAGTAGGGTGCGTGGGGTCACCATAGCATTCGTTACGCTAGTATTCATAAACCATCATAACTTTACTGGCGTGGGTTACAGTACAGTCCTCGTTACCTACTCCCTACCATCATGCAAAGCGCCACTAGCCTTTCGTCGCCAATGGGTGATCAGAATTAACTAAATTCTCGCAAGTGGTCAACCGTGATTCACCATTAAAGCGTTTCTTTCAAAAGTAATAAATAACTGCAACACAAACGATACATAGTATAAAAATTTTTTAAAAAGTTAATAAATCATGTTAATAAATAAGTCGAATTTAAAAGAAACTGTAGAAATTTCATAATATAAGGTAGAATTAACGATCGGATAAAGCTGTCTTATATTATCAGATTGTTCCCGTTATATTTTTGTCGATAATTCAGCAGAGTATTTCTCTTTCATGTTTATAACAAGATTAGTTTGAGACGTCCGCAGAGACTACCGCGTATTCAAGATAGTGTGTAAATGGATGTAAGCAATTAACTCCTTTTTAAACGTCGCTGATTTGTTTCACAATTTACAAAGATCTCTTTGTAAAGTACGCAAGCGTACCATTTTACATATCAGGAGTACTAAATATACAACATAATAAAGTTTTATTTTTTTAATGCATTTTTCATGCTGCGCGATTACAGATCTTCAAGTTGCAGAATGTTTTTCTTCCCTGTGGGGACAACTTTTTTTCCAAAGCTTGAACATATGAAATCACTTTTACACTCATTTTACATAAAACAACGCAGAGGAAGCTATACTCAATTATTATCGAAACGATATTTAATTACTGAAATTGACTCGATAATTTAATTATGAAATTAAAATATTATCTGTGCACATTTAAATAAAGTATATTTATTATATGGTATTGTATATCCAAATTTATAATTTAGAGTAATTTATAAAAAGTTAAATGTGCAAAGTTATAAGAATACCTTTGCTGATTCCATGATTGATTTTACAAAAATACAGTAACTGAAAATCGAATCCTTGGTGACGTGTCGGAAATCCATTTTCCTTTGTTTACGAGATCGTAAAGGGCTTTAAGGTCCCTAATATTCTCGAAAGTCGTAATATGTTAACACGTAGTCGGTCACGTCAGCATCATCATTAATCAAGCACAAGAGAGAGAGGTGCCTACCATTACTGTTTCACATTATGTTTCTCACTGTATTTACAACACCTATTCCAGAAGAGAAATATCGTATATGCAATATAAAATTAATGTTAATATACTAGCAGGTAAATGTGTTATACTTTTAGAGTAATTATATTTTTTTAATTATATAATATAAAAACAGGACAAACACACACTTTCACGTGCACGCACGCGCAAAATTATTTATCGATCTCATATCCGTGTACTTTGTAAAACAAGTAAAAATTGCAACAAATTGTAAAATTTATATAATTAAATTTTAAAAGCAAGCAGTTTATTTATTATATAAGGTAATAATTTTACCTACAAGGTGTAAATTTACAGACGTATGTAAATATACACCTTTAATAGATGGTCCCACTATAATAATTGTAATTTTACATATAATGTTTTTACAGTGTAGACATACAGACATATGCATTACCTTAAGTGAAAATTCGCTTCAAGGTGCAAAAATAAAAAAATTGTCATCTGATACTCACAGATTTCTTCGTGGTACTTTAATTCCAGATCTCGACAAGAGTACACGCACGAAACAGTATATAACTACGTCGACTACTATCCCGCCTCTTGTACACGTCCCGAACGATAGTTTGCCAGAGATACGGACGAGTCCTTCAGGACTCGCAAACCCAACGGCTGGCCACGGCGCCCACGGGAGAAACCCCAGGAACTATTCTCGAACAGTGAGGAGCAGCGGAACTTCCGAATCCTGCGAACTGCAACTACCGCAGTTATCCACGTCGCTGTTTTTGATAAGGATATTAATAAAGTTTAACACCCATGGCACTCGCACGATACCGACAGCGCACAAAGAGGGAGATAGGGCAACAGATGCTATAGGCAGAGAGAACGAAGTTCGGACACCATCGGGACGTGTAACATCCCTTAACGTCATACAGCGGCACGAATGTGATTGTCTTCGAGATTTTATGTTATAATACGTAAGTACATTTTTGTCTTTCGATATATCATTTTATGAAAATTGATACAGAAACTGCTATTGATTTTCAAACGTAACATATATGTATAATTAAGCCACGCTGATTTTGTGAATTTTTAAAGGTATCCATGAGAAAAATTGAGATTTACGATGGATGGTCAAAGCGTTCTATTTTTTTTTTACAGGACGTTGTCCACTTTCCTGCTCCATCGTCCCGCACCGCCGGTTCTCCAAGTGTACAGCTTTCAGCAGAGTCGGCAACAGGAGTTCCTGAAGTCGCGACGAAGGCACGAAGCCGGCTAGTGGCCCCCACAGGGGCTGTGCAGTGACTTTCGCCCCTATCTACCCTAAACCACGCTCTGGAAACGTCCCTCTACCCTCCTACGGGTAAGTCACATCGCCACCACCCTGGCTTGGATCCGACTTTTGAAAACGGTTTTCTCTCTTCACTCCTCTCACTGTGTCCTGCTTAATGCTGGAGACGATATGCCGAATGCCCCCCGGCAGTGTTTTAAGTTTGATCCGCGTACATCATTTGAGTAAGTTGGCAGTATATCTTTTTTCAGCAACTTCTTATAAAATACCGAAATTGTACTGATAAAAGCAAGATAAATTTTATTTAAAAAGAGATATTGCGAGATAAGAGTGTGATAAAGAATCGTTTAATGTCAAACACTTCACAATTAAAATTTATATAATTTCTAATATTTATATAATTTCTAATTACAACTGATATACATAAATTGTTACAACAGTTGTGATACTAACAATGACTTCTGAAAATATAAGGAAACTTAAAACGAAAAGATTTCGCTTGCAGGTGAGAGCGCAAGTTTTTTGCTGACGAAGGTAATTACCTGTGATGTAATTTCCTTTGTCAAGCGATTTACTTTTAATTATAATCGACGTCTCCTGAGAGTTTCTTCAAGTACTAAACTTATTAAAACGATGAAATCTAATAAACTTTCCGTGACTTTTTAATAAACTTTTTATCCCAACGTCTACCTCCTTTATCATAGCAATTACACAATTAGAATTCTTTATTTTGCTAGGCTTATTTTAAAATAATGAACAGCTAATATTCGTATTTCTGTGATTAAGAATTCTTTGTCGAAATCAACGGTTACCCAACGATCATCTAAATATTATTGTCGGGCATCGCTCGAGGTAGATTTCTCCGCCAATGTCAGATTTGCATTTAAAGCAACGAAGTAAATTCACCTCGCGTAGCACGAAACAAGGACACCATTGGGAACACAAACGAAGTGGGAGACTGGCTTACGCCAGCTCGTAAAACGTCGCCGGGTATTTTAATTGGCAAAATATGCTAAAAGTCGCGATCATGATAAGATTTATTTATACGCCCTTCCCCCAATCATCTACACACACACAAACTGAGCACGCCTGAAAATTTATCAGAACCCAAGAGACTACTCTATACAGTACATCGCCGATTTGTTGATGTTACTCGATATTTTGTGACATTTCTATATACAATTGTTAATCACTTAAAAAAATAACGTTCCTAGTATATCATCATAGAGAGAAAAATTAAATTTTTGATTGCTTGATGCTATAAGGGATTTATATGATAACAAATATTTGCAAAATAATCATTTATGCAAGTCTTTTATAGACTCAAATAAAAAATTAATTAACGGATATATTAATACTTGTAGTATTCATGATTTTGCAGTTCTCGCGACAACTATGCAAATAATTTACAGAAGAAAAAATCTGTTTTAAAAATAGGATGTCTTTTTCTTTAAATTCAAAGAGGATTACCTATAATATAATATAATATAATACAATGACAGGACAAGCGGAAGAAATGGTCAATTGTCGATTCGTGGCGACAGACTTTCCCTTTGGATCAACTTAAGCTGTGGGAACATGCACCTATAGAAAATAAACTTGTTTTCAGCTCTTACATTTTTCTAGTCATGATTAATGGTTTTTCTTTGATAATCTGTCAAAAAAGTAACCCTTCTCTTTATTTCTGTCCTGACAGCTTCTTTCTGGAAAGTTTCGTTCCAACATTTTTACCTAGGAAGGTCAACGGGTGGGCGGGCGTGGTCATGGCAGAAACGTCCCAAATCTTTTAACTGTGGATAATCCTCGGTATCTAAAATCTTCCAATTACAATTCTAGTAACCCTAAAGTCATTTGTATTGATTTCGTCTTGGATTTCCTGTTGTAAGCATTGAATTTTACAAATACCTGCCTTATATTTTTGCGTACTTCTCTTTTCTTTCGTTTGACTTACCTTTGAGTAGTCACAGTAAGAAATTATTTAATCCGAAATCCGAAATCCATTCGGAATTGTATGGTAGACTTTTACGAAGAGCTAATCCTTAGCTAATCCTGCTAACCCTGCTGATCCAACGCTTTGGGATTGTAATTAATTTAAAATAGTGCTATTACATTATAATATTTTTCACAACTTGGAATATAACAGCGTGAATAACAGATGTTCCGTTTTTCTATCTCTACGATAAAAAATGACATTACTAATTCGCTTGACTTAATCCCATTACATATTGTTATTAATGACGATCATTAAACATTTTCATATTACTAAAGAAGCTCCCACGGGAGTAATAAGCATCATGTGTGAATTAACAATTTTCGATCCATGGCTAATTTATAATTTGCGACGAAACAAGCATATTAACCATTTTGCAATAACAATTCTTTTAATGGCTTGCTAATAACAGTTAATAAATATGAGATAACGGCGGAAGAATGATTATCAAAGAAGAGAAAACGCCGGTAGTGTATGAAAAAAAAAGGAGTGTTACGGACAAAAGTAAGGTGTCAGGGAAATCGATACGCTGATCAAAAGCAATAATAGGAAATGCACATCTGACGCGGTCTTTATGGCTCGTTGCACTCGAAAGTAAAGCCGGGAGGCACGTTTATAATGGAGAGAGTATGCACTTGTCCGTTCTACTGCGGTCTAAAATCTGATGCTCCCTACGGGTACCGATAGCACCCTCGCTGATGGCCCTGTTGCCCCTCAAAGTGGATGCAGTATCTCTCTGCTGAACAAGTTTGAGAGATAGCCGCGAAAATGACAGAGAAGGGTGAACATGCCAAGAGAAGAGAGGGGAGTCTACTCGTGATGGGATGACCACATCTGTTTGCAATTGAAGCAAGTGGCGCGATTTTGTGATTATGTGGCTTCACCTATTAACGTTTGTACAATAAGGCATTATTTACTCAACAAGCATCGAAGATTGATAAAAGTCCTTTACTGACATAGAAACTTTGCTACATCGAATTTAATCCCATGCACTTACCTGTACAAAGAAAATTATATTTTGCAAAATAATGCTCATCTTATTCTATTAATTATATTACCGGTACGATCGCTCTCTAAATTGCAGAAGAAAGATAGCCAAAGGAAGCAAGAAGCCTGTGAAAAAATTTTAAAACAATCGCCGTAAATGAAATGTCGGATTATATTAAAACAATGACATTTTTTCTGCCACATGGAACATTTATTGCATGATAAATATATAAATAATAGTACAAAAGTTTGTAAATTTAATTTAACACAATTTAGTTTGATATAAAGGTTAATAAAAACATATCAGTATACTCTATGCACTCGAAATTTAAGACAATATAATCGCTTCGTGTAGACGGTCTATTGACTCTGAAATAAAGAATAAAATCATCTTTTGTAGTGAAGCGAGGGACGGAACACGGTTGCGTTACCAGGACCATTCTCTTTATGGATAAATGTTAGTGGCCGTTTCCATACAGGTAAGCAGATATGATGTTTCAATAAGAGACGGCAGTTAGGCGTCTCTAACGTGCATTTTGGCCTCCAGGCATTGTCATTCCCGTATCTGAACGACCCTCGTTCGTAACAGTACCGCGAATATCTTATATGGACCTCTTACTTTTATATATACGCGATATACGATATAAAATTTTACATAATCACTTGTATTATATTTTACAGAGTATGTTGTTAAAAGTTGCACTTACAATTTGCAACACAGAATATCGATATCTGTCTAGAAACTTTATTATATTAATAACTTGCGTATTTTATATATTTGAAATTTAATCTGAAATATTTTTATATCTTGCACATTTAAATTTAAACGTTAGCTAAAAAGACAAACTTCTTGATAATGAAAACCACGTTTACACCAAAGATGTATCAAAATGTGTTTATCATGAAGAAGAAAAGATTAATTTGTCAGAGAGATTCTGACAGAAAAACGGTGTTAGGAAACAGTTCAGAGAATATTGTAACTCTTGCTTTTGTAACAGGTGTCCCGCTGCTACCGACAGAAAAGTTTACATAAATGATGAAGACGTCCAACTCGCAGTGGGGTACTACATGGTAAGAGGAATACGACGACATACAAACGAGAGAACGAGGGAAAGAGCCTTTGTCCTCGGTACGGGGTATAGGCATCGAAACGCCTCGTTGGTCACCAAAGGACTTTCTCTCTCTCTCTCTCAATCTGTCATAGCGGCCGCAAAGCTTGTCTGGCTGTACCATTTCTCTTCTCCTCCGTACCTCTCTGTTTATAGACACCAACGCAGCGAGTCTATAATCCAAACAGAGGGTGCCGTATTCACTCACCGTAACCATCAGCCATGTGTTCGTTTACGGATACCTACCTTCCGGATATTCGACTAAACGTCTGTCAACGGATTGTGCAGATTTCCCGAGATTCGGCTTTCTTCAAGAGACATTAGCATTAAATATTTATAATGTCTCTACTACAAATCAAAGGTAGTTTGATGGTGTACATGATTTTGGCCAGCGGTTTAATCTTCGTTTCAAAATGCTAATAAGAAGAATTACTAGAAATTTAGAATACCAATATAGGGGGAATACAATTAAGAGGAAACTTGCAATAACTTGATCATCAGAGGCTCTGAAGCTACAAAGTCCAAGCATCGAAACCCATAAAATCAAAACTCACAATGCTGAAGCTTCTTTAGACAACTTTGTAACTTTAGAAGCTCTCAAAATGGCCTTTTTGCATGTTAGATTAGGATATCTCAAAATTCTGAAATGGTGATAAAAAACAAACCCGGATTCG